TGGTATACACAACATTTTTTGTGCAATTGTGTAGAATCGTCAATAAATAAAAATGAGATTTCAAAAATAATAATTTTCGTCGCAAATAGAAAGACGGCCAGTTTTCATTTTACCATGGAAATGAGATAAACAATGAATAATTTTTCGCGAAAGAAAAGTCAAAATGTGTGCCTCCGAAAGTGATTCTTCGATATCCGGAACCTTGTCTGAAAATGTACTATTAGCGTACCTTATGGAAAAATCGAAGACCTTAAAAAGTTCAAGCTTATGGAGTGTGTATTCGATGCTAAAGTGAATGCTTAATATAAACGAGTGTATAAAAAAGTGTACCTGTCAGTTTGAGTTCTAATGAAAATCAAAATGTTACAGTTTCAAAGTATAACGCTTCTAACACTTTAGACTTTCTTTCAGGAGTAAGTATAAGTAACAATACGAACTGTACGATTAATATTAACATTTATCCAAAAGATTTGTAATTACCTACATGCTGATTGTCAAAATATATGTGACATTGTTTTACTTTAACGGCCGTCACTATGACAGCGGCCGCGAAAATGAATTTCGCGGCCGCCATGGCGAACGCGAAGTTGTTGTTTCTCGTCCAATTGCACAAAAAAAATATTATTTTGTGATACAAAATCGCCGCGTGAAGGAGTCGACTTTTTTCCATATCAAGCCAGGATATTGATTTTAATATATGCGAAACGCTTTGAAATTTACGTATGCCATAAATCAATCTTAAGCAAGAATTCTGAATTACCTGCAACCTTCTCTTATGCGAGTACGAGAGTCGAGGACCATATACAGCACTGCAATACGTAAAGTGAGATAATACAAGTGATCTACAGAGCAAATTTTTTGATGAAATTGATAATAAGGATCTAATTCCATATATGTACCGAAGACTAGCAAAAGCTCGTGAAGTATCCGTGCATTTAAATAAGAATGACGTTGTCATTAGAAGCGACAATATCTGTTTCACTTATCTACCCTTACGTTTAAAGTAGATCCACTTTATCTATCTACGGTTAAAGAAGGTTAGCCTCCTCATTCAAACTAACAAAATGTCAAATTACATAGCTATAAAAATAAAAGGTTTTCGCCCCGTTAAAGGAACAAATTGTTCAGACGCATTCCCATTGAAATTATATCTAGGGTAGCTTTCCTCATGTAGATCCACATTCTTCCTTTCAAAGCCAGATCTAAAGTTGTGGCGTATTTGCGAACGACCTTCTGTAGCGAGCATTTTGGTAACAAATACGCAATGTTCTCATTGACTTGTAACTCGTTTTAATTACAAAATTTCCCATAAAGGAGTATGTATGTATTTTTAGATGCTATGGATTCTACGTCATAATTCTGGAAGCGACCGCAGGCAACTCATTATTGATCGCCACTGTACTCTTTTGCTGGTTTTAGGACCCAATATACAGATGGTTCATTTGAAAACTTCTCACAGGATTTATCGCAAACGCATGAGAAAGAAAAATCTCCGAGACACGTCAAAAGATTTGTCAAGGAGGACAACTTTTTAACCAAAAAATTAGTTTACCCCCTTTCACCCTTGTCCCCCAGGGTCATTCCATTAAAATTGTAAAATTACCAAGTGATCGAGTGTAGCTGTTGAAGTCTTTCGAAGTCCTTTTATTTTTACGTTATTGATTGTTTTTAAATCGGATGATCGTTTTCGATAATAATAAAATAATGTCCCCACTCTGTGGCTTGGTGTGGTAAACTATTTTGGAAGTTAAATCTAAATGAATAAATAATTTTCACTATTCCAAGATTGTCACAAAAGAATAACTGACAGCAAATTAAATCTTTCTTGTCCCATGAGCAACAATAAGAGATATTTTGATTTCTATTTTTGAACATTAGATAGGTCGATTCAATAAATTAAATAAAATTTTTCTAATTTTCTCGAAAAGGGAACGACCGATTTTAAAAGTCAAATGTCAAATAAAGGACCTTCGAATAACCTTTCAACTAACTATTACTCATACCACTGACAGTATAAAATGTTGAAGGGAATGATACCTTGTAGGACAGAGAGGAAAGGTCATGAAGATTTTTGACGCAAATGTTGCCCTTGACAATCTTTGTGAAGGTCTCGGCACGTTTTTTCTTTAGAATCAAGTGGTTTTCGATAAATCCGTGTGGGAAGTTTTCAAATGAACACCCTGTATACAGGTACCACGATATATTGGCTATGAATGTATAATATAAACTCCTGGTATCATCAAAGTACGAATATAATTTAGGATAAATGAACTGAAAGCAAAGCAATAAAAACAATTTACAGATTTCGCAATCCATCCAACCATCGGAAATATTGGAAATGATAACCGTATAACGCCATATGTAAAACACAAATAAGTCTTATTCACTTGGGATCACTTTCTGAGTAATAAGCCTCATCATAACATGCTCATAATTCTATTAAAGGTACGTTTCCTATGAAGCGTCCGACGCTTGTGCCTGACGCGGTGTGGCTTTTTCACATGCAACTGGAGACGGCCGCCGCATGCAGATTAGAACATGCTTCCATTTTTTTCCATTGCGTCAGCCGCACTGCGTCAGTCGCCCGCGTCAGACGCTTCATAGGAAACGTACCTTTAAGGAGATGTGCGAGAATTTTACATTGGAACTAACTAAACAATTGCGCACTATTAGGTAAGTACCGGATCGACAGTACCCGCGACTTTTCTTTAATCTACCGATTGCGGTCGAATACGGTACAATCAACACTTGACGCTACACCACTGTCTTCTTTTCTGGTTGACGAAATTGGCAACTTCATTCATACCCATTCACAAAACATAAGCATTTCCAATGCTAAAAGATCAAAAATATGCAAAAGGTACCAGGGTGCCTTAGTGTGCATCCTGTAAATAACTGTCAAGATGTATTACCTCGTAAACCTTTAAAAACACACTACGCATTTAAGAGTCTTTAACTTTTATTGTTTTATTGAAGCAAGTCAAATATTTTTAGATGAGTTAGTCTACTTCCTTCGGATGTTCCCTGTTTCGGTAGCGTATTCAGTTTTCCAGATTTTCAGCAGCAAACGCTGTAATTCAAAATATAATAAGGTTACCAATTGATCACATGATGTAAAGTGTTAATTGGTGGACTAAATAAAAAATTCGTCTTCTTGTTTTCAAGAACTGCCTTCCGTTGTTAACTAATACTAAAGTTTCTGAGGACAGTCTAAGTCACAGTCAATGTACTTCGTTACGGTTTTTAAGAAGACACAATTTTTCACTACTAACTTTTTTGCCAATCTAATGAAGAATAAATCAACTTACCCTTTCTACAATCAGGGCAACATGATGGTGGACAAGAAAGCATCACTGCTATAGCTACCGCTGCTAGGATGGTACGTAACATACGAGACATAGTTGATGTTGTTTAGGTTTTACAACAAAATTTGAGTGAATTAAAAATAAAATTATCCTGACTTAAAACCAAGGTCGAGTGTATTTTAGGGAGATTAATAAAAGACAGTAAATTTTACAACCACTACTTATTTTACGCATTCCTACACGCATTTTTATCGCTGTTAAAACGCTACCTAGCGTTTAATCAGATAAAAAATCATCTAATTGGTTAGAATTTGAAAAAATCACCAAGCTGAATGGTCGTATATTAATGGAGTGTATTAATCATACATAATAATAATAATAATAATAATAATAATAATAA